TTGTTTTGTTTTTAGTGCATTTTGTTTTGTTTTTCGTGTATTTTGTTTGGAAGTCGGTTTTGTTTTTTTATTAAAAAGTTTATTTTTGTAGATTTTTTTTATTCATAATATTAGTATAATTTTGTTAATCTATAGTATTATAATAAAGCGTAAACACACACTTTTTTGTTTCCTAAGATGTCAGCAATTACAGCATATTTTTGAATAATCCTTTTTTTTAATAAGAAACCCTACACTTACGTCACGCTTTAAGCTATATAAGCTAATGTGGGAAAGAGACCATAAGTTACTGCCAACATCAAGCAAGCAAGGTTGTCATCATCATGTCATTTTGATATTTGTAATTGATATTTTGACAAATGTAAACAATAAAATAAGATTTTCATAATTTCATGCGGATGAAGTCGCAAAGTAACAGCTAGTTTACTAATATTTCCTTTAACCATTCCCACTAAGCTCTTTGCTTGTTGCTAGTATTCACGACAATAGACGGGATTCGAATCATCGACCGCAAGATCGCGGCAATCTGTACCCCAAACCATTAGGCTATTGGTGCTTAATAATCGTTCTCTAATTAATAGATAGTTTGAAATAAACTTTGTGAATAACGGCTTTAGAAAATAACAAATTCCTATTCGTGTTTATTGTAATAAAGCGCAAATGTTTTGTCCGAGCGACCGAAACTGCATTGTCGGTTGATGTTTGCAATTGTTCGGATTGTGAATTGCGACAACAAGAGATGTTTATGTGCTTACTCGCTAGATATTTCAAAGATTTCACGACAAAAGAGTTAGATTTTGATTCCTACTATTTTCTTTCTACACTAGTCTCTACGGAGCGTCAGCCGTTATATTTCAATTCAGCCCTTAAACATATTCTGTTTCACAAAACCTATCCATGCTTTCTTTGGTATTCTGCCTTTGTAGCCATACACATTCAATCCAAGTGTCAATATTGAATGTTCTTAATATAAAGACGGTAGTTCCCCCCGCTAAAAGAAGCATACCAAAATATATCGCAGGAATGATTATGTTTTTGTATTAAAATTTCGGTCATGGAAAAGAGGGTTAGAGTGAAATCGCATCTCTTAAGGATTTAATATTCTGTCGAAGCTATGCATTTCCAACATGCTTTTTCACGGCAACTATTCCGTAAAACCAAACTTTTACTTTGTAACAAATGAAACATGTTACGTTGTTGAAATATTTCGTACCCGCAGGACAGACTCAAATAGTTAAGTTTGTTGGAGTTAGATTTAGTTGTTAATTAGTTGTCTTCAACATTTAACAACTTAAATAGGGGCCTAGGATAGAAAAGTACATGTAAAGTGTAATATTTACTAGTTTTAATAAATCTATCTAAGTAGCTTGAAGGCAATCGGGCTGTCATGGTCCGAGACCAAACGTAGAGCACAGGACAGAGCGAGCTGGCGGAGTACTGTGGACACCCTCTGCTCCACTTTGGGAACATTGGTAAAGAATAGAAGAGAAGAGATGTAGCTACAATTGATCATATTAAAATATTTAAAAATGGACGTAATAAAAGTTGTGCAAATGTATTTATATTGCTTTAATGTAAGTCCCTTATCGCAATAATGTATAAAATACATATTATAATTGAGGTTTTGCCACCTTTTGGTAGTTTTGAAACTCGACAACTTGCGCAAAATGAATACCTTTAAACTGTTTCGCAAGATAAAAAGTGTAACTTGTACTTTTTTATGAAGGTAATTTTACAAATTGCATTTCTTGTTTCTATTAATCTGTTTACGTCTCAAAATACAATTTTATTCATGATAACTACGAAACGAAATTCAAAAGGTACATAAGTACTGTTATGAATTTAATCCTAGTTGTGTCAAATTGCAAAGAATATGCTTTGTAAATGATAGGTAAATTGGTTTAAAAATTATCAACGTTAATAGAGTGTAATATTAATTCCTTTAATAGTCTCATCGCCTGAAGATCACAGAGGTCGATCATATTTAACTTTACTTACTTATGAATAACTAGGTTTCGCCCGCCACTCCGCCCGCAAGAAATTAAAAAAAACAAATGTGAGCAGCCTATGTGTTCTTCCAGACTATTATCTACATCTGTACCAAATTTTATCAAAATACGTTCAGCCGTTTATGCTACAAACTCTTACAAACATCCATCTATCTAAACGCATTTATAATATTAGTAAGAAGTAAGATTAAAAAATTATTCATATGGGATTTGTGGTGCATGGATTAAATGTACATGTAGAGACAAAATCTATGTTTAATATTCAACAATATAAGAACTAAGTCTTAGGCATTTAATAAAGATACTCTTAATCTTTGACTGCGAACAAATACTCATTGCTAGGATAGTAAATGAATGCCAATGACATAAAGAAATCTTGCGTGCACTGTTTGCATTGTTATAGACGTGTCTAAAAGCTTAGAACGTCTATGGTCTATATGCAAATGAGTGGTCTCAATTGCGATTGCGACAAAGGATTGGTTTGATGTATGGTGACTATTCTCCGATCATAATTCTGACAGAGAGCATAGACTCTTTGTGCTAGAGTAGTTATGAGAGATATTGTTCCAGTTTACTGAGAAACTTTGTATGATTTACTCAGTGGAAGTCCAATTTAATGTATTACGTGTTTTAAGAAGGTTCTAGACCTCTCAGAGTGTTACTTATTAATGATGTTATTTTCTGGAAAACTTTAGAAGTACAATAAAAGCAAATTCATTTGGATGCAAATGTATTTTACAAAATTGTCCGAGTCCTAATTTGGAGGCTCGCCAACTTGCTCTATACTTCCACAAGCCTGGGGGCTATGAATAATCGTTAATAACGTTGTTTAACTTACAAAAGTCTTCTAGAAGTTTTTGTACGAGTATCTTTTATATTTATAAGAAGAAATATTGTGTTTAAAATTTCTTATTAGAGTAACAGTCAAAAAGCTCATGGTAGTTTCACACTAGGGTAGCACAGTGAGGCAAAGTAGGATAGAATATGTCCTCTGACAGAAGTGCATTCAAATAGCTGTAACACTCTATACTGCTTGTTTTACCCTCGTGTGAAACTTAATATAACAGAATGAAATATGATGGAATGTTTATTGCTTGAGCTGTTATAAGTTCAATAACAGTAGTGAATTCTTTATGTAAATACATTTCTCGTGAGCTGGGACGTCGTGACTAAGTTTGAAACGTTACTTAATAGCGTTATCGGTCAAATCCAAGCTTACATATTGCTGACTTAAGTAAAAATGTCATTTATACTTTAAAAGGTTCAAATTCGGTGTATAGTTGTTTGGGTAACCGTGGGTTACTACTCGTATTATTTAAACATCTGTTTAAGACATAGTTACTTTTGCGACGTTAGACGTAATTTTAAACCTTTCCTTTCAATTCCAATTAAAAAGAGATGCAAACAGATGCTGACAAAAATACAAAAGAAAATGGTCCAGAGATATTTAATATTTAAGAATTCTTAAAAATCGTAAGTTAAATGTAGTTTTAAATTCTAAAAAAGTTATCGCCAGCCAGATTAAAGCGAGGTGGGTTTGATAAGATTAACATATTTAAAATAAAAATAATGTAAACCAACCTTCGCCTTCGTTTATTAGTTTTCCGCCGATCATGCGTGGGGGGATCGCTGGCATAAGCGCCGCAGTCACCCTCCGCGCTGTGTCCCGCCCCCATTACTGTCCCATGCCATACACCGTCACTCACACTGACACCCTTGACACCCCTGTCACCAGAGCCCGAACACCATTACACACAGACCGATAATTCGACACAAGATTTTTTATCCAGGGGTGCCAAACCGTTTGGCTGCACACCGCATATCCGCGCGGCTCGCGACTCTAATGTGAAGCGTAGCGTCGCATGCGCATATCGCACGCTCTTCTTACTCAGCTGTTAATTGACGAGAGCCGAGCGGTACCTTCTCTGTGGACGATTTAATTATCTTTATTAAGGACAAGTGTCTATTATCTATGAGTTCTATAAGATTGGATGATTTAATACTCCTAAATATAGACTTTTAAATTGATGACATGATATAAGTCTATGTAGGTATACTAATATTATAAAGAGAAAAGATTTTTATTTTTTTGTGTGTATTAAAATAACCCAAAAAATACTGGTCCGATTTCAAAAATTCTTTCACAGTTAAAAAGCTACTTTATCAGTGAATAACGTAGGCTATATTTTTTTATTCCACGCGGGCGAAGTCCCGAGCAACAGATAGTATTTTATTTTTAGGATTTTACAGTTGATATAATGCACTGCAGTAAAATTTTAATATGGCGTTTGCAACATCCACAAACTATGCTATAAGCATTTGTGAGCTTTCATATGTTAGTGTTAGTAAACCCGCTTACCGTCCAGCACTTGTACTTGCATTGTCCGCGGGCTAATTGTTTCGCGGTCCGTCTCAGAAATCGCTTCGCTCTCGTTTCTACTAATTACACAAGCCGCTGCTTTCCCAGCGGAAAATGTCGATGGAGGGATCTTCAGGCCATCGTATTAACATCACTTAACATATTTGATGTTCTAATTCTTAATTAAAAAAATTGTTCGCCTGATTGTATCTCTAACACACAAATACATTTTAAATGACACTTCACTTATCAAGATTGTTAAGGAGTTTGCAGATCGGAACTTCAAAAGTGGTAGAGACCGAATGACAAAAATTGAATCTACTCTAAATCAAAGTCGAGTAACTAATGCTTCATTTCGTCAGATGAATGAATGACTTCTAATTTCAAATTACGTATTCTTTTTAAAATAAAAATATCCGAGCAGTACTGACGGTTGCGGATGTTGATAAATTACGGATTCACTTAACTGCAGACGAAGCGGTTGTTAGTTAACGGCTCGTTTGCTTCCGTCTATAAGAAAATCGCCACTGAAATGTGAAACTCTGTAATATCGTCTTATCGAAAAGATCAGCAAATAGCAGTATATGATTTCTAACATGATTACAAACTAACGAGATATTACATCTTTAGTGTGGACACCTTTAACTAAACTATCGCACAACAGTTGTGCGATTGTTTGGCAGCCAATTCAACTGTTTAGTCGTATAACTAAAAATCGAATAGTGTGTGCAGTTCCATATGAACTTATAGCAATCAAGAGATTAAACACACAGATTCAACTTAATTACGTATTCTGGGTTAGTTGGTTTATTATTTAACAAACGACTAAATAGATGGATAGGAATTAAAACTATATTTTTACAATTAGATTTTTTACTCTATCGAAGCTCAAACTATTTCAGTGTAAACATTTTAAGCCACTAAAATTCTAGTGAGGAGATTTAAACGGTTATTGTTCGCAATTTACGATTTGTGTACGCATTTTGGCGCTGTTCCAAGTACTTTGTGCAACGATGCTTGTGAACTATGAATGGTCGATATACTTCGATTTGCGTAGCCTATATTTTATGGTGATGAACTGAAACGATTTGAGTTTACATGATAACCTAAGTATTTAAGTTTTTTAATCAATTAGGGTTTATTTTAACTGATTTAAGATCGTATATAGCGATCGAAAAATATGATCTATTGTTGGATGTAATACAAATTAAAACAATCTTCAGATCGATGTAAGTGCGGGCGCATACCTTTGCTTAAACGCACAACTGTTGGGCGATTGTCGATTGTTTCAGCAAATTCAAATGTTTAGTTTAGTTTTAGAAAATCGAGTAGTGTGCGGACCTCCATATTCATAGGAATCAAAGCGAGACTAAACAGTTGTCCGATAGTTTAGTTTGGCCGATACTATGCAATAGTGTTTTTCAATGATATCTATGTTGTTGTTTATATGTAAATTGTTTTATAATTAATCATTGTAATGTACTGTTTTAATATATTGGCATGCTGTCATGTGCAAAGAATATTTGTTACGATAACATTTCTTACACGCAAATGTTTGCAGAATGTTATCTTGGTGATTATATTGTATTATCAAAATCACGTAATATTTTTTTGTACGAAACAGTTTTTTCTTAAATGCTTCTTTTGTCGAAGATAGGGGAAACTTCTAGAAGCCAAGGAGACTATAAGTCTATGAAAACGGATAACCATTTTTTGTCCAAGTTAAAATGTCAGACTCAGTTTTAAATATTAATGGTTTTTTTTAATTTAATCAAAATTAAAAGTTAACTTTCTTATTAATGTTATTGATCACATTTATAAGTTGAGAAATACTTAAGTTTTCAATTATTTTGGAGAAAGCACACTTTACATCAAGTACGATTTTAGTATAGGTAATTAAATTGGATATTAGATCTCAAATAAATGAAGAGCATACTTAAACAGGGAAATTAAATTTTCGAGATAACGCCAATAAGTTATATGCTTCTTATTAGGAAAAGGTCGGAATTTTGTTATTTTAATAACGTTGAAATGTTTTACGAACTTAGTTTTCTATATGTATTTTTTGTCTTTGTAAAGATTTTCCTGCAGAGTCGCATTAAGTCTTGATTTAAAATTAAATTTAAATTAACAAGCCTCAGATTTTCTGCATTGCGTTATTGTTTTAGGAACACATTTGTATTTCTAATAGAGTATAAATAAGAGAAAACAGAGTGGACTGTACCTTTGCGGGCGCAATTAACGCTAATGCGCTCACTATTTTGTTTTATGCTGCATTTTTACTCTGTATTTCCTATTTAACCTTTTTACGTGGACCGTTTACTTTGTTTGGCGGATCCGCTGTCTAATTTATACAAGGCTTATGTTAACTTTACTTATCTAAGGATATCTACTAGCTTTCATATATGGTAGTGTTGTCTAGTAGATAGTGGTTTGGTTTCTTAATCTCCTTCGTCTCTCTTTTTTTTATACAATAAGGTGGCAAATGAGCAAGCGGCCACCTAAATCCGCCAAAATGGCGAAGCGATCGCTGGCCATAGACATCCGCATGGACATGCGTTGCCTACCCTAAATTAAGGGAGAAGAAGACGCACATAAAGAGGATATTTCCCCTTCCTATGCGTCTCCTCCACCGTCAAATCCACTTCCCATCCAATCCTTTCCTTATTTGAAAAGGGTGAAACGGGAAAAGGACTAAATTGGACCTCCGGCACAACACTCATCACACGAAACGCGGAATTTTTTCCACTTCACACATGTCTTCTGTGTGGTCGTGGTATTGCACCGGTCGAGCCGACCCATTCGTGCTAAGATGTTAAAGCGGGCTCTACCACTGTTAAATCTCTCTCTCATCACACTCTCTATCATCGACATCTTTGTTTGAGACTTGTTAGTAACCCTCTGTTTCAGATCTACACCTTTATAACTCTATGTATCATTATGCTAAATGTAGACACTCGTACGTACAGGAGTTTCGGAAGTAGTAACTAGGGAATACGATCCCGCACTGTTTACGTTCTCACGGGATTTTTGCGGAATCGACAATTTTACAGCGAGATCCCACAGGACCTAAAATGGTGCGGCCTCCCGCTGGATTGTGGTATCCCACTTCGCGGGTTTGCAATCCCTAGTAGCAACCCAAAGATTAGTGATTCTAAAACACGAACACCAATAAAGTTTATAACAGTATGTTTCAAGACATGAGATCTAATTTTAAAACAATTAAAACGTTACTATTCCGTACACGTCTCACGTAATAATAAAACTGAATTTGGTCTTAATGTCATGAATAAATTGAAGTAAGTAGATCGGAAAAACTGTTCATTTTGCGTTAACTTTGCAACTTTCTAGCAATCGCTATATCTAATTATTATATTGCTTGCAATGTTACAATTACAAATTATATATGCAAATATCTGATAAGTAAAATAATATGAAGAAATATGATACGGTACAATTATTGTTAAAACTATTATTTCGTATACAAGTAGTGATTGTATAGCAAAATAGATGAATTTGAAATGCGTTCCTTCTATCGAAACAGACCGAGTAAAAACTTTTTTAATTTATGAGTTCATTTATTTAGCACTGTTACATTAACCTTTTACTTGTTCTTTTTGCTTAAATAAAATCAATCATCATCAAAGTATAAATATTTATACTTATACTCATACTAATATTATAATTATAAACAGGAATGATTTGTATTTTTGGATTTTTGTATGTATTGAAATAGCTCAAAATCTACTTTGCGATTTCAAAAATTCTTTCACAATTGAACAGTTACGTTATCAGTAACATAGGCTACATTTTTAATTCCACGCGGACAAAGTCGCGGGCTACAGCAAGTCTTTTATATAGATCAGAAATCAGCAGAGTAAAAGACTTTACCTTATGTAGCTTTAGGTAAAAATTCATCCTTAAAGTACACAAAGGGTCTACAGTAAATCCAATAATACAGTTAATGTAATCGCTAATTCGCTTTAGATTCCGTAAATCCGTGTTTGGTCGAGCTCAGAATAAGTGATTCAACAAGATCCTTTGTCCCCTTGTTGAGCTATTACCGGCTCGAAAGCTTTAACTATCCTATTTTGTACTGTCGCGCACGAAATACTGCGACGCAAAACTAGTGCACAATATAAAAATATTAAAACAAAATATAAATTCTCTTTAGGTTAATGATTTTCTTTATTAGAGTTTAATCTTAAGTTTTTTTCTAAATGTTTGTAATAAAATATTTAAAATTGTAAGTAATAAAGTATATTTAAATCTAACGTGTTATGACAATCATGAAGCATGCATACTAGCATGCATACAAGCATACTAATATTATAAATATGAACGTTTAGATGGATGGATGTTTGTTTGTAGCCTAAACCGCTGAACGGATTATGATGATATTTTGCATAGACGTAGAGGATAATCTGGAAGAACAAATACGCTACTTACTTTTGTTATTTTTAATTCCACGCGGACGGAGTCGCGGGCGAAAGCTAGTATGTAATAAAAAATATGTGTAATACATATAAGTGTAACTGTGTACAAGTGTACGTAGTGATAATCTGTTAAGTGGTGCTCTGACAATCAGGTTGAAGCGACGACGTCTGCTGTGAGGTGTAATGGAACAATTTCCTGCTAATTGATTGCTCAGTTATGTTTTCATTGTTCTGTGTTTGCTATACTGACATGTGATGGGTTATACCAATTTTTGTACGTTAGGTAATTTCAATTTTATATTTGAACGCTTTTAAAATTTTTCAACACGAATGTAGAACTTTTAAAAAAAATTTAAGTATGAAAATATTATTTATTCGACTGTATTCATACATATTGCTTAAATAGTCATGCTTAACGTGAAAGTCAAAAGAAATGTTTATATTGCTTGGATTAAGGCCAAAAATTTTTCATATTCAACATATAGTGAATAGGGTTGCCACCTTTAGGTTTGGCTAGACTTCGAATCAACACGATGTTCGGGATATTCAAACATAGATGTCAACAAGTCACTATTTTCGTTATCCGAGGTTTTTAGCGCCGGTATTGTACGTTCATTGTATGACAGCCCTAACCTAACAAGCCTAACAAGGTGACATTCAATAGAGGCTTATCTAACACGTGTCGTTTTAATGCAATTTATTATCGAAGTTTTATAAAGTCCAAGTATGTCGTAAAGCTTTCATACTAAGCTCCTATATTATAGGACAGCGTAGTTCGTAGCTGCCTTTAAAATGTTTGATATTTTACCTTATTTTTGTAACGATGAGAATTCTTGGAATTGTATATTTCATGTCCCTTTTATCGAATTTTATCTACTTATGTTCGTAAAACTTTCTTTCACCGTGTAATACGTACTTCAAAGTACTTAGTCATACTTAATAGGTAATAAAGTATTTTCATATTTCGGTTACATTACAAAAGAAAGTAAGAAGATCTTGAAGCTTTGATTAGATGTTAGATAGTGTATAATGTCTTGTAATTTACATTTAAAACAATACCAACGTGTTCTTAAGAAGAGCAAATTACTTACGTAAAATAACACGCATTAAGTGAAAGTTATATTACGCTTATCTTAATTAGTCTTATTTTGATGGCGAAGGGTTCTTTTAAATATTTACGTTATCCATTTAAATTAATAAATATTATACTAATTTTCATTTTAATTTTAATTCTTAATTCAAAGACTTTTTGAATTACTTTGACCCATCTTTGGTTTTCCTACATACCACATGTGTTATGATAGATTTAAATATAACTTTAGACAGTGCTTATTAAGTTGTTCTCTCGGAGACCCGCCTTGATAGTATATATTGTAACTTATGTAACATTCAGATCGACTTATGTAACTCAATATCATAACTATGTACTCAACTCTATTCAATTCCGAGATGTTTTCTCAATTACAAATATCATCTTTCAAATGTTTGTTGAAATAGAAAGGACAGAGTTGGAATTCGTATTTGAAGCTTACTGCTGTCGTGAAATAAATCATTGGCTTACGCTCGTGACTGGTACAGGGCGATAAGTTCACCTCAGGTCGCGGGGTAATAATTTGCTGCCATGTCTTTTTTTAGTTTGTCGCATTTAGAAATGTCTAGATTTTTTGTTTATTGCGACTTTTCAACTGTAGTTGATCTTTGTTACATTCAAAGATTAGTTTCATCTGATTTTTATGTCGATAAAAATCAGACAAAATTGGAAATCGCAGCGATTTCACTTTCCTAGACTTGGTTCTTCGTGTAATGTCGGAAATAATGCTAATTACCGCGGTTTTTTACTGTACAAAAAGAACTTTTTATCAACAAAAGTATTGAGGTAGCAATAAGTGCTTGTATGGGTAAACTAAACTTTAACACCTTTTGGTGATTTCATTGTTAAAGTTTTAATTTTCGTTTGTTATACAGAGGTGTCGGTGACGTACCGTCGCGGGCTACCGGTGATCACGGTGCCTCTGCCGTCGCGCCGCGAGCGTTGCCGCTTCACACTGCGCCCCGTCTCACAGACCGTCGGAGATCTATTAGAACAGGTTAGTGAAGCAATGACTCTACGGAATTAATTACAAGAGGTATCCGTTGTGTCTTTGCAATAAAGAGTAGGGTATCTGAATTTAATGGAATGAATGAGGTCTTCTCAATACCGGGAACCCCACCAGTTCTATATGGGTTGAGGTAGCACCATTAGAGTTAGTTCATACTTAAAGGTTCTGGTAGTTGGCTTTAAATTTATTGTTATACCTGGTATAAATAATTGTTTAGAGCTGTACAAATTAACAGCAATGTACATGTTTATACAGGTGAAGGCGGAAGACCGCGGAGTAGAGCGCGCGGTCGCCTTAGCTCCAGACGAGCGCGTGCGCATTGCCGCTAGCGACACGGTAGAGTCGCTGCTAGAGAACGATTTCCGACTCATCATTAACGACACAGAATATTACGTTAAAAGTCCGCCTCAGGTGAGTGTTATTGTCATTGCTAGCATTTTTGTTGACGAATTAATATACTTTTTTATTACCGAGTATTTAATGTTCATTTTTTGTTGTCAGGAGCGGTTGAGTTCAGAAGAGATAACTCGTTTGAGCGATGTGCGTAACTTGGTCAACCAGTTGTATGAAGCTCTTAATGTCCGAGAGCATCAAATCCGCAAAGAGCGAGAGCTTCGAGGCCAACTGGAAAAGCTCTCCTCGGAACTGCAACCACTGGAAGAGGTAAGCCTTGATAGCTTACATTGAATTGTATATACCAGGCAGATTCTTTATTACGGAAATGACTTGGAACTGGCAGTATATGAAGGCCACTCATAATGTAAAAAAAAATAAACATTTGAACTTGGAACGATTCGAAAACATTTGCTAATTTCTCTTTTGATTTTTAATTTTGGCGCATTTTACAATCCTACTTTTTGAGCCACAAATATTTGCCATGGCTTTCAACTGGTTCTTTTAGATTGTCTTATAATAAAATTTTGTAATGAAGAAATACTAAATGTCTTCTTATTGCATAGAAACGCATGTCTCTGGAAGTGGAGACTTCTCGACGTACTTCCGCCCTCACGTGGGTGGGGTTAGGTCTGATGGGGGTGCAGTTCGGAGTGCTAGCGCGGCTGACATGGTGGGAGTACTCCTGGGATATAATGGAGCCTGTCACTTACTTTGTCACTTATGGTACCGCGATGGCAGCTTACGCGTACTTTGTGTTGACGAAACAGGTAACTTGAAAGTGAGATAGTAGAGATTTATTAAGAAAAATAGAAAAAAAAATGTGTCTATTAAATGGTGGAATGACTTTAATAGTAGAAACAGTCTTAGGTGGCCATAGTTTGAAAGCAAGTCACAATCAAAATTTTTATTTCGTTATCGTGATTAATTATATATTTTTTAATACTGAGTGTTTTTTTTGTCTCAGGAATACGTGTTACCGGACGTAAAAGACAGACAACATCTCTTGATGCTTCACAAAAAAGCGAAAAAAATCGGACTTGACATCAATCATTATAATTACTTAAAGGATGAGGTAAACAACATTTTTTATTCAGACACTTTATTTTTTTACAAACTTTGTTTACATCAATACATTTTTTCTTAATATCGCAATAAAATAAGAAATGTTATATCTACTGAAACTTTAACTAGAGCTGCTTAAGGTCAAATGTTTGACCTCGGTCAATGACGCCTAGCAGTCCCCTTGCGAGACAAACTCATTTTTCAAGACATTTACCGCAAACTAGACTTGCTTTTCAAATTTACGTCAAAGATTTTTTCTTAATATTTCACAAGAGTTGTTTATTTCTTAGAAGATAACATTTTTTTTTTGTACCTTTTAGATAGACAAGCTCCAAAAGGATCTCGCACGTCTGAAAGATCCCTTACACATCCATTTGCCGACATCATACGCGCCTAAAACTGGCGACGAGAAACGTTCCCCGTTGACTAAACTAAAGGAAATGTTGGACGAGACTAGTAAAAAAATGAAAATCACGTAATATATGTTTAAAACGCGTTTGAAAAAGACGCGTAAAACACTTTAACACATTCACTGCCACGGAGAGTGTCACGTAATCAGAGTGGCATGTGATCATAGTGGCATGTGATCATAGTGGCATGTGATCATAGTGGCATGTGATCATAGTGGCATGTGATCATAGTGGCATGTGATCCTAGTGGCATGTGATCCTAGTGGCATGTGATCATAGTGGCATGTGATCCTAGTGGCATATGATCATAGTGGCATTGAATGTGTTAATTTACGACAACTGTTGTTAATAATTTGTACGGACATTTTGCGATAGCTCACTGAATTGTTATTGATAAATGCACTGTTGTGTAAGATTTAGGGTGCGTTTACACTGAACCGAAACTAATGAATTTTAGCAAAGAAAGCTGTTAAAGACCTTTATGTAGAATTTTTGTAATATTTTTAAACTGCTATGCCGACATAGTAACCTAATTTTTTTAATATGCTATGATAAAATTACGTAGCTTTTTGATGACAACATGGGTGACTCAAAAATTTCGTATAATCTAGTTGTCCTACATGGTTTTGTTTCAGTGAAATTCACCCTTGTATTAAAAAGCATTAGATAAAAAAATGTTGACGACCTCTGATTTTTATTTCATATGTACGCTATTATTATGGAATTTGCAGGTATTGTGTAGTCAATGTATTTAAGCTTATTTTATTAGTTTGATTTTGAATTAAATTATTTTAGTTAATACAGAAAATAAATGGAAGTATATTTTAATGAAATTTTAGTGTCCTAAAATTATTGCTCAGATCTTATGTTTCCTATTTGTAATTTAAATTTAATTTAACAATTAAAATAATTTCGTAATGTTTTGCACTCTTTCCTATAAAGTGCCAATATTTGACATTATAAAATTATTTAATAGGTTTAAGAAAAATTTAAAATTATTTATAATATTTACCTTTTTTTATTGGTAAATAATTGTGAGTTAAAGAGGCATACCTGTACAATATTTTAGTTGCAATTTTTTAATAACTTTCGACTGATTTGCTAAGTCTTATTATACCAAATGGAAATTCGACGTCGAAACATTTTGTCGTTGATTTCTTTTAGTTCTTATAGTAATTAAATAACAGACTCCTTTTGACAGCTGTACATTATCCATCCAAAAAAACATCTTTATAGTCTATGGTCGCTCAAACTTTGAGTTTGCCTTGAATTAAATAATCGCACAACTTTTGTGCGATTTTCGATTGTTTCGCAGCCAATTCAACTGTTTAGTTGTACAACTGAAATTCGAACAGTGTGCATATAAGCTCATATGAATCAAAACGAATCTAAACAGTTGTACAACAGTTTGGTTTTAGGTGTGTTCACGCTTTTAGTAATACAAAGGTTGCTGACCTATTTATAAATTGTTGGGCAGATTTTTACTTCATTCTGTAAACCGAGAATTAATCTTATTCTGTGGGCATAATCACTTATAACTAACTAATTACGCTAACGTCTTGTTAGTTTGGCGCCAAAATGGTGGAATTCAAATAGGCACAAAATACCAAAATACTTTGTCGTTAGTTAATTGTTCTTTGGCTTTTAAAAGGAGTCTGTTATGGCTGTTAATATATTCTAGTCCTATGTACGAGTGTTTGCTAACAAAACATAACCTTAAACCCAGGCTGATTCTTGCCTAATATAGAAAAAATTAAACAAATTATACACAGGGTTTTTAAGGTTATTTTAAACGATTGAAATTCGATCGTATTTAATATGGCAAAGAGATGAATTTTAGTTAAATATTTGCTTTTTCTTGTACTTTTAAACGTTTAATTGTATTTTTAGCACAATTTTTATTTAGCCCATTAAGAATGAATGCACAAAGTAGAATTTAGAAGGATTGTTGGTGCTTGAATTTTGCTTGTATTTATTTTAACAAATGAGTTTTTGTAGTTGATTTTATTAAATTGTCTTGCTTTATTGTTTTTATTAAATTGAATCCAATGAATTTGTTTATTTCAATATAACATGTCCAAATGGTACTAATATGGTTCTCTTATAATAATTTAAAACAGGCGTAAAAAATCAACAATAGTAAAGATAATTTATATTTTTTATTGTCTTTATACCAAATAAATTGATTTTTATATGTTTATATTTATATTGGTTTATATGAGAATACATGGATATATTTTTCATAAATTGAATACAGTCAACAATTTTTTTTTGTAGCTTGATTTAAAAAAGTCATGAAAACGGTTAAAAACTAAATTAAAGTAGTTTAATAAGTGGCTGTGAAAATATATGTAAAGAACAGTCCGCGATAAAAGAAACACTCTTAGCGAAATTTCATTAATTAGTCGAATACTTTATATGTATAGTAAATTAAAATGTTAATTATATTAAAATAAGCATTACCTAAATAATATGTTAATGCATTCTTCAAAAATAAAAAAAAAATCTCAAACGATTTTTTTTACGATATACAAATTACTCGAATATCCAATGCACAAAAGAGTTCGAATTGATTTTTCATTATTATGATGAACCTAAAAAAAAGTATTTTTAGTGTTTACTATATTAGATATGAAAAAACTTTATAGTAAAAAATCTAGTAAATATCATGCTTAGATTAAATTACAGTTTGTCTTGAATTTAGTATTTAGTTACGAGCAAATAAGGCGTTTTTGGATGATAGTCTATGATACGTTGCTTACCTCTGGTTGATTGACGTAATACTGGCAACCTGTACAAGAAATATTTGTTTTTATATTAAAAAAATAAAACATAATAAGTGTTCCAGTGGCCAGTGTTTTTACAGCGTATATTACATAAAAAAAAACAATACATCTTACTCAAAAATACGCGAAAATTTTGAAGGTGCCGTTTTAAACTGTGAGTGAAAATTGTGTGTTATTTTTTATGTTATCAAAGTATAAAAGGCATGTGGACTTTTACTGAGATTACCTGTTCCTTCTAACTTTATTAAGGTCTGATTTAACTATTTTTGACGCCTTCTAATATATCTTTTGTTACTAAGTTATCTCTGAGAGCTGGCGCACACCTTTGACTAAACTATCGCACAACTGTTGTGAGTTTTTTAATAGTTTTGCAGCCAATTCAACAGTTTTGTTGGTCAACTAAAAGTGTAGTGTGTGCACCTCCATATAACCTCATAGGAATTGAAGCGCGACTAAACAGTAGTGCCATAGTTTTATCAAAGATAAAGGTCTAACTGGAATGGCTGTTGTCTGTTGATTACTATTGTATTTCTACGCTACATATGTATAATCTTATATACTCTTAGACTGTTGTATATAGTTATTGTTAGTTATAAGCACTCACTTTATCTGCTAAACTAAGCTTCTTGTGATTTGCTGATTCGCCTTTTATAGGATTTTTCTATCTCATGTTTTCCTATTTATATGACGATTTTTATCTAGACTAAGATGGAGCAAAGCTTCATTTCTTATTGTTTTATTTATTTACAGTCTAAGTACATTTTGTGAAATAGTTTGATGTTTATATAATTAAAAATGTAACAATATTTTGTCCAGTTCACAAATTATGTTTTTGTAGGGAATAAATATTATTTTGACAAGATTAGTTACCGGATACTGAAACGAATTTTAAACAATTCGCACAAAGGGCTGTTTTTAATCTGACGGACGTCATTTTTATGGAATTTGAAATTTATGCATGGCCTTTTATCTGTTGCTTATTTAAACATCTTTTCAGTATACGGTCGTAAATAAATAGTAAAATTATATGTTATTTAAATTATGTATTTCTAGTATTGCTATGTTACAAATTGTATCTTATTTTATTATTAATTTTAATGTAGTATAAATTTATTGAAATTTTATCTAAGAAGTAAATTTACGAGAGCTTTTAAATTTTATTTACACGTTGAATCACTTTATTACATAATCTCGCATGTAGTTAGGTACTTTATATCTTAGATTTAATTGTTTAACCACTTACTAAACTTGTTACTAATCACTATTAAAATTTGCCAAATTACCCTTCCAATATTAAATTCTTGTTAACTATGTTACAACCCTTTTTCAATAATAAGGCCGAATATTGAAACGAATCTTAAACACTTCGTTTGTTTTGCGCCTAATACAATCTGACGGACGTCAATTTTAATGGAATTTGATGCTAACCGTAACCTTATCAAATACGCTGTTACATAAAATGTCGTTTCAATATTTGGCCACGTGATATACAAAATGGACATGATTTTTTATAAAAACACAAAAATATAAGCTTCTTTATATGTTTATATTAATGCGATGAAAAATATAATATTTAGAATTAAATCACTGGCCATTTTGTATATTTCATACACAATGTTATACAGTTACTATGTTATGTTAGTGGAGTTAGGAATAGTGGGAAAAGGTCTTAAGCCCAATACTCCTTGTAACAGTAACTATTTTGCATTTTGTTAAATTTACAGTCGTGTTCCAATAAATATTTTGAAAAAAAAAAATTGTTTTATTTTTAAAACCCGGTGCGTTATCATGCAGAATTTTCACTACACACTCGATCTTCACTACGAATTTGTAATCGTAAAAATAATAAAATGCTGGAATATGCAGACTTTATGAAGTTATTTTCCTTAGTAATTTCCTTACCTTTTCCTTTATTTACGGCTGAATGTTGTAGAGACATTTAATTATGTAACGATATATAAATTTGACGCTTGTCAGAATGTCCGGTACTTATGACGCGAAGTGTTTAAATTTCGTTTCACTATTCTACCGTTAGTCATTATTTTGCACAAGAAATTGATAATTGAACAGCAAAATATTTAGATGACGTATTTTAATGGAATAGTCCAAACTAAATTGCTCCTAAATACAAGTCGTTCTTAAGTATCTTGGTAGAGAGGTGCTGTACACGAGAAGGGCTTTGTCTCGTTTTAGAAACACGAGTGTAAGTGGAAACCGCTTGTGTTGAACGTTTTAAAGCCCCTTTTTGTATTAGGATATAAAGCAAGTTTATGTTGTTTTTCTAACATCAAGTATTATGCCGGAATGAGTAGGAAATATTACAATCTGATTCTAACCTAAAAATAGTAAGGAATTAAATAAGAGAGTCCGTAGGTTACAAATTTTACTACTTACTACAAATGGCATTAAAAGTAGATTTTATTTCTTAATTTTTGTTATAATTTCTTTCTAGTAACACAGAAAAAAGTTAAGAATTTAACATTTTTACTCTGCTCTACTCCGACTCAAGAAACCTTTTGTCGTTAACGAGATCCACAAGTATTCTTATGTTCAAGCCTTCGTTTCCCTTCCCGTAAAATTTAGTATAAACATTTATCCTACTTACTGAATACTTAATTTATTAAAGTACTTTTAACGTAAATTTACATAAACATCACATTAAACCAATGAAATATTAGACACGGGTCGAGTCAGAGATAAAATATCATAAGTAGCTATCTATAAATTTAAAGTTATTACAAAGTATCATAATATACTAGATATGAACATTATTTTAACACGAAGATTTTTTTTAGGTTATTCTGAATAGAAAATAACCCTAAACTTTTGCCTGGTCATCTTATCTGTATTTACAATAGTGTTCTATGTTACACTGA